TCCATATGTTACAGAGAATGCCTGAGGGACCCTGTCCAGCAAAGGTGGGCTGGAGACCACATGTGTTGAACCATAGCCCATGTCCTTAAGGAAGAGGGGCTAATGCAGGACTTTGAAGGCTGGGGAGAATAAAGAGTCTGGAAAATGCTTTGGAAAATAACAAAGGAGTCTACAAAGATTTTAGTTTTATGTGTCTTTAGGGAAGGCCGAATATTAAACAGGATGTAATCTGACATTTAGATCTAATTCTGTTGATAATCTGCAGATTTGGGAACATGTATCGTAGAGTGACAATGTCATTGGGAACTGGTTTTACACAGAAGTGGTACTTTCTTAGAAGAAATGAACGGCCAAAACAATTTGCTGGTTTTCTGTATTTCAATGAAAATGTAGTGGCAAGCTTTGCTAGATAAAAAGATAAAAGAATAAAAGGTAGGCCACCCTAGGTTTTCACCTGATATCTACCACTGATGGGCTGTGTGACCTATTTCTGCAAAAAATAGATGAGATCTTCCCAATGGCATCGTTATGAAGATTAAATGTTTGTTAAAAACTCAGAACAGTGCTCATTAAGGACTAGATAAGTACTCGTGCTATTATTATTATATTAAAACTTGTATTCTTCATTAATTAATTCATATAAATTACCTGCCTGTACATAATAAATATCTAATAAATGAGTCCTTTGGGAGATTTCGTGCAAAGTATGAGACATAATTTAAGTGCTGGAGAGACATGGGCACTTGCCATGGAGCTCACAGTCTATGGGGGCGAAAGGGAACAGTTTTAGTTTTCTTAGCTCCAGGGTATTGGCAAGTTGCATCTTTAAGCAGCTGGCTACACATGATTTCTCATCTGCCTCTTATAATAGCTCATGTAATAAGATAAATGGACTGACGAGCAATCATAGACCAGTTCAGGGGAGAGAATCCTATGGTGGACCCTGCATTTCTGCTCCTTGGACACACTCTGTAAGGACAGATTTTGACTTGGGTGGGGGGAAAGGCTGAGTCAGTCATCATAATAAAACACTCAGTGTAGGGGGATGAGGAGGAGGAAAGGTGCCATCCTCAGAACACAGCAGGGTTGTATGCACAGGTGCATGTCGTATCTACCTGTGTGTGTGTTTTGCGAGAGTGTGTTTGGGTGTGTGTTGGGGGCTGGGGTGGTTCCCATATAGCTGCAGGGTCTGGGGAAGGTAGAAGACAAGAAGTGGGATTGCAGTAAATATTTCAGGAACTAGCATTTTCTTTCTTGTTTTTGAAAGACAGGAGTAAAGAAACCTCATTCCTTTTTTATTACTTTTGACTCATTAATTGTGTTTGTGTGAGCCATGCTCCTTAGAGACCAAACAACACGTGCTTTTATGGAGTCTGGAGCACCTGTTTGCCAGAAGCTGTGCTTGGCCCATTTGTTCAATAGGGGTTGTCAATTCCTGCCTGTCCTTGGCCATGCCCCTTATGGCAAAGAATGTCTCAGGGCCGGGCTGGTCTCAGGAGGGCCACAGCCAGCAGCTAACAGGACTGGCCAGAGATGAAGGGGAAAAACCAGGTAGAAGATAGCTCAGAAGCCAAAAGAGCTTTTCCTGAAAATCAGGCATGCTCCACCACTGTCCTATAAGACCACAGTGGGCTCACTTCCCTGCTTGTGGTTCTTCTGTGTGTACACCAAGGAGAGGTGAGGCTGCTTCTGTCAGCACTTTCCAATGGAGGTGTCACTTGGAATTGAAGCAGGCTGCCTCCGTGTGAGCAGATGGGCTTGTTAGTGGTGGCATTTCAGAGGGGAGGGGTAGACAATTGACAAGGAAGAACAGGAAACTAAAGCAAAGACAGGAGCCAGACTGACTGGGCCGCCTGGTCCAGAATAAATGAGGACAAATCGGGGAGGAAGAGTGAGGGCTTCGGCTGACCCCGCCCCCTGCTCCGCCCCCCCTCCCCCCCCAACACACACAATGACAATTCAGGTGCATTCTGTTTGTGAGCACCAATTTTGCTGCATGTTTTCAGTTTTCCAAAGAGTCTTACTGGAAGACCAGCTCCCTGAGTGTTCCTCGAGTGTGTGGACGGTTAGGGCAGATTCCCGATCCTGTCTGTTTGGGAAATGCATCAATGAAATCTTTTGCACTGGGGATTCTCTGAGCCTTCTGTGCAGTACTCAAGAGAGGCGTCTTGGACGAGCATCGTTTTGCAGTCTTGGACCACAGTGGCTACCTGACATGTGGTCAAAACTATCGGCTTGCAGGGCAAAGTCCACAAACACTAGCTACAGAGGTTTCCCAAACTGCCCTGAGACACAAGTCACAAAATAAGCTGAAAGCCCTTATTCCTGGATCCAACCTAGACCTGCTGA